CGTTGCAGTGTGTTCTGGTCCATCAGGAATCCTACGTTATCGAAGCTATGCTTTTCCATCCTATTTGCGATCTCTGTGGGCTTCCTGGGGTCGAGAAAGTCACCATCGATCAATGCCAGTACCCGGCGCCCCATGAGAAGCCCACCGCGCTGTTATCCAATTGTGCTTCCCTCAGAGCTTTGGGGGGCTCGCTGTCCAGGAGTAACTGCTACTCATCAGCATCATCATCTGACAGGGGCGTGTCGCATTGCAGGCTCCGATGGGCGAGCCAAGTGGGGTCGGCGCATGGCTGCAGCAGGGGCTTATCCGCCCGCCCTCTGGTGGGCCTGGGCCCGCGCCATCTGGCGGACCGCGCCGGCTGCTGCCCGTGGTGCCTCGGCGAGCTGGATCGCGGGCTGGTAGGCTGATCTCTGGGAAGCCGTCGCTGCCAGTCAGCGCCGACGACAGCGTCGCGCTGCCGCAGCTTCGCGGCGCGCCCGCTCAGGTGAAAGGGGCGGCGGGGAGATCCACTTCGCGACGAGGGCGGCCAGGGCGATCGAGAGGCAGGGCATCTGCCCTGCCAGAGCTGGGCGCGGCACCGAAATGCATGCGTGCTCGGCGTGGTCGCATTGGCGCGGTGGGTGAGCTGAAACACCGCGCTGGCGGTGACACTGGCCCCGGCTTTCTTCGGCGTGGGGCGGCTGGCCCCAAGACGCTGGGGCATTATCTTAAGGCCGTGGGCGATTTCACTGCGCGGGCTAGGCGGCGCAACCCTCTTTTGTCGCCACCGATGGCCCTTGCGCACGCAATGGAGAGATACTGTGAGTCTCTGGCACTTGCTGGTTACAGTCCTGCTGCGGGGCGGTTTGTTGTCTGCGGCTGGGTGAAGCTCAGCGCCGACAACCGCGAGCAAGCGCTCCAGGATCTCGACCCTGTGTTTGAGGCTTTGAAGGGCTGGCCCAAGCTGATGCGCGAGTTCGTTGTCGAGCCATGCCCTGAGGAGGTTATTTTTTGGTCCCCCACTGGTTACCGGAGAACGATGGGCTCGAGGTGGCCGCTTGAGGTACAATGCAGCTCGACCTCTACGCGAGGCCGTCGGAGATCCTTGACTTGTGCCGAGAAGACGTCGTCGCTCCATCAGCGAGAGCGGGAGCCGCTCACCGAAAGTGGGCCGTCGTTTTTGGCTCATCGGGCTAGTGCAAGCATACCGAGACTGGCAATGTCGATAAGCGCGTGGTCCGTGGCGCTCGATCGAGAGAAGGGGTGGTGGAAGTCTTGTCAATGCTGTATCGTGCCATTGCCCAGAGCTCGTTGCTTATATATATATATATATATGAAACTGACTCTGGTTGATTTCGAGAGAGATCCGGCGTTCAGTCAGGGCTTTGGGCTTGACGGCGCCGAACCCTACCCCGCATGTGCTGAGACACTCGGGACCCAGCAATTACCTGCTTCAGAAGCGTAGAACGTTGGAGCTTATCCGCCGACGAGGGCGCTGGGAGGCCGCTCAGAGTGTTCAGAGGTACGAAAGTGCTTGGGAGCTTGATGAGCAAGGTCCCGCCCGCTCAAGGATTACTTCGCGCTGCGCTGCAGAGCAGGTTGTCGCAGGGACTTCGGGCTTGAGAAAGATGTTTTTTTGCCGGTCCCGCCGTCCATCCCCGACTACCATCCCGCGCTCGCGATTCTGGTTGAGATTTCGGTAGTGGCCGGCAGCTCGAGGACTTCAGTTCTCAATTGCCACAATGTGAATCTTGACATTCTCAATTGGTGTGAGAGGCCCGTGTCTCTTGCCGGCGCAGTTCGTTGATGCTTGCTGGGCTGCTGAACTTCAGGCTGCACGGTGGCCTGTCTTCGAGAAAGTGTGATTGTAAAGGCTTGCGGCTTATCCACCGACGGCGTCTGGGGCTTCGCGGGAGATCATTTCAATTGAGGGGTGCGTCGTGGATATGACTGGGTCCCCGAGGATCAGAGACCCTCGGAGGAGGGCCGACTGACTGCAGCCAGTTCTGGGCGGAGCACATCAGTGAAGTACAAATTTCTGTTCTACCTATCTTTGTCGGATCGTCCTGCTCTGCCCGTTCGCAACCGTTGTGTGCTCAAAGTGCTCCATCCTACAGCCCCGCCACCACCCTCACTGCCGACGAAAAGTACGAGAAATAGATTCCGGTAGTGGCCGGCAGCTCGAGGACCTCAATTGCCTCAGTGTGAATCTTGACGTTCTCAATTGGTGTGAGAGGCCCGTGTCTCTTGCCGGCGCAGTTCGTTGATGCTTGTTGGGCTGCTGAACTTCAGGCTGCGCGGTGGCCCGTCTTCGAGAAAAATGTGATCGTAAAGGCTTGCGCCTTATCCACCGACGGCGTCTGGCGCTTCGCGGGCAGATCATTTCAGTTGAGGGGTGCGTCGTGGATATGACTGGGTCCCCGAAAATCAGAGACCTCGGAGGAGGGCCGATTGACTGCAGCCAGCTCTGGGCGGAGCACATTAGTGAAGTACACACACACACATATATATATATATATATATATATATATATATATATATATATATATATAGATGTATATATATATATATGTATATATATATATATATATCCTTCCCGCGTTGCCGTCCCTCATAAAGTCTGCCCTGCTATTCTGGCCATGCGCACGGGTTGGGTACATCGTCAGTATAATTTTCTTCGGGGTGTTGGGATTGTCGCGATTTTACCTGATATATTGAAGTAGACCTGATGCGGGACGCCGGGACGGGCGCAATGTCAAGTGAGGTGCCATTGAACAGATTTATTCAGTGGGAGGCTGGGCTGGGCGCTGTCCGTGTTGAGCGAATATGGGGAAGGCGATTGAACATTTCTTGACGCTTCCCGTATGCCCATCATCCCGTGAGTGCGTTCGCTGCGTAAGTAGGCTCTGCCCGTAGCCCGGGTCGGCTCTTGACGCCGCCTGCGCCTTCGTTTGCGGCTGCGTTTTTTGTTTTTTGTTTTTTTTTTTGTTGTTTCCCCCCCCTCTTTTTTTTGTTCTTCTGCTTCTTCTTCTATATATATGTGTATGTATAATTATATATAAAACCAAAAAAACCCATCATTACTTTTAAACACAGCCACCAGGCGACTTGCCTTGATCAGGGATGTGTGGCGGTCACTCTCTGGGAGCCTATTGGAGGCATCTTGCGGCCATGTTGGGGCCACAATGGGGCCCTCTTGGGGCCTTTTTTGAAGCCTTTGGCTCTGTTGGCCCCCCCTTAGGGGGCCTCTTTGGCTCTTTCGGTTGCTTGTGGCGATGTTGCCGGCCATCGCTTGAACAAAAGGCGGGCGGCGCTTATGTTAGCCCCCCCGTTCCGAGACCTCAAAATCGTCTCCTGGGGTCTTCTTGGGCGCTCTTGATGCTCCCTGGGTGCGCTCTTGGGCGCTCCTGGGGCCGTATGGAGGCCGAAAAGGCGAGACGACAAATCACATGGACATTTTCACGTTTTGGAGGGATCGTTTGGTCAATCGAGGGTGTTTTTGGGAGGCTCCGTTGCCACTTGGAACAGTATTTGAGCGGTCTTGGGGTCCTTTCGAGGCATGTAAGACACTATCTTGAGCCATCTTGGACCATCCTGTATCATCTCGCAGGCCATCTGCGGCTAGCTGGGCCATCTTGGGGCCATTTTTGGTCACCTTGAACTCTCTGACGACTCGCGACCAGGCCCGTCCAGACCTAAGGAGAAGGGTATGAGGGATATGCACGCTTCTCCATGAAGGGAAGAACGGAGGTTGGAACAAATAATTTGTTAATCAATCTGCACCCAAAAGGTTGGTGGGATTCCTATGTGAAGACTGGGTGAACGCTAACGAATACGGTGGGAGTTTGGGATTGGCGCCATCTCTTCCGAGCCTTGGCTATGAGGAATACGGGGTTGCCCTGGACGAGTCGATCTGCTCTTGTACCTACGCCGAGATGGACGGCGGGATTCTCTCGAGCCGTGTTCTCGGCGCATACTTGCCGCCTCGCTTGAGAAGCTGCGCGGCTGCAACTTCGCGTGGTGTGGGTTCGCTCGGGCGCGGTGCGGCCCCTGCAAGGAGGTACTGCGGCTCCTTGGGGTGTCGTTTGGGGACTTGGGGCTTTCGCCTGCTTCGGGGACGGTTGGGTGCTTTCGCTTGCTTTTGGGGCTTGTTTCCGCAGCCACTCCGGGTTCTTGCGGATGCTCTCTGGGGCTCTGGGGCTGCAGTCGGGGCTTTGTGCGGTCTGGTGGGGGCCCTCAGAGGCTCTCTGGGACCACGGGCGCCGTCTGTAGCTGCCAAAAGGAAGTCCTGAACGGCACTGGGGGCCATGTCCGCTCGCTTCCATGAAGGCTCGTGCTTGCGGAGGTATGAAAGCCGTCATGCCCTTAGTGTCTTCCACAGCTTCGTGCATTTTTCATGCCATGACAGGGTCTTCGCGCGACTCGAGTCCGGATGCGCATGTTGCGGCAGGTTCGTGCAGTTTCGACGCGGCGGCGACTCTGGCGTTGGCGTTCAAGGCCGAACGTCGCCAGTTGCTCGCAGTCGGCCGACGTCGAACGGTCGGCGCTGTCGGAACGCTGCGATCGTTCGAGGAGTCGGCCGCGGAAGCCGAGCCCTATCCGCGCCGATCATCCGTTCAGGCAACTCGATGGGCGGCGGGGGTAGGGCTGGGAATTCGTCCCGCCTCCAATCGATTCAGGAAAATCGATGGTTGGTGGGGGGAGGGTTCGGATGTCGCCACCTAAGGAGGTCGAACGACCTGCGCGGTGCCAGAAATGCCAGCGCAAAGAGATGTCACGACCGGGACCAGCCGTATACACCACTGATCACAGCCTCCGGCCCCCCGCGCTTCTCGGGCGTGCGAGAGCTCGCGATTCGCCGCTGCGCGCCTGCCTGAAGTGCACGACGCACTCTTGCCTGCACCAGTTCGCTCGCCGGGAATGAACGAGGGCACTGGCGGCTTCTCAGCCGCTCAGTGTTCGGTACGGGGAGAGGGGCGCCGTCGACAGCGACGACGGCAGGTTCCCCCCCCCCGCCCGAGGTCATCGCCACTGTTGTGCTGTGCCCGTTCGAGCGCGCGAGAATAAAGCTGGTGTCGGACCCGACCTTTGCCCCGTCGACGGTCTCCGCGTTTGCCCGCCTGGCGCGCGAGGACGGGATCTATCCAAAAGCACTGCGTGCCCACCGCCCGCCCCGGGGTGTTTCTGCGGCTGGCCGCGCGGAGCGTGCCCGCAGGACCCGTCGCTCTCCGACTCGTCCGACCTGATTCGAAACTACAGTCAACGCGCCTAGTAAGGACGCGTGCCTGCATCTAGGGTACCCTCCTTCGCCGTTTTCACTGGCCGCCCCCCGCCCGAAAAGTCCAACTTCGGCCTCCAAGGGTCTTGCGTCCTTACCACCCGTCGTTAGTAAACGTTTTGATTGTATCTCTTAGGGTTCCGCCACTCGCTCCGACCCGATGAGGACCTTCCGATGCGCGGCTCCTGTTGCAGTCTCGCCCGATCTGGTTCGACGTGTCAGCCGACCTTTCTGGACGTCGTTGGCTAGGCGCCGACATGGGAACGAAACCACCTCACTCCTGCTTTCTTAAATAACGGTGCTTTTTTAAAGTACTGGCGTAGAGAACAGCGGCACGGACCGTGCTTCGGCACGTGCCGCACACCTTCGAATCAGCCGTTGCGTTCCCGAGTCTGAAAGTACGGAGTTGCCAGTGGGAGAGGTGGCCGAAGGGTGGGCGATGAATCCACCAGGAGGGGGGGGGGGTCGAACAGTTGGGTGGGCCAGGGTCTGGCGCAGTGTACGTGCCAGCGGTGAGGGCGGGACCAGGGCGGGCAGGAGGGCATCGCCAGCGACTGGCGCTGGGTTGCCAGTGCCGCCGAGGAGGCAGGGCGACACGGGGACGGGGAAGGGACGTAGGCAGGGGGAGAAGGAGGAGCTGCAGAACAACAAAGAAGGAGGATAAAGGGGGCAGGAGCGGGGCGCAGAAGGAGCATCAACAGGAGCGGCAGGAGCACAGCAGTATGAGCAAGGGCCCTCCCTGGGGAACGCTCCCACCTTCGACAGCCAGATCCCCAAACTCAGCTTTGCATTGTGTGGGGGGGGCTCCCTACTATCCCCGATGGCATTGTCTTACCCGTGACCTTCATGGCCCGAGCATGGACGAGGACGAGATCCTCGGAGATACTGAGGGCGAGCCGCCAGCTATTATCGGCGATGTTGGAGCATTGCCCCAGAACCGCGCCCCTGGGGAACATCGGCGAACCCCTCGCCGAGAGACTGATTGTGGCAGTTGCCGCGGCAGGCTGCTGGGCAACCCGACTTCCCACGGCCAGGATACCCGTCAGCGACGATGACCACGTGCGACAGTGGATCACTTCGATATCCGATGGGAGCATTAGGGTGGTTGCAATGGCGCTGGTAGAACTTCCACTAATACATGGGAGTGGTCCCTTTCCAGACGATGTCACATCAGTCTCTGCGAAAACCTTGGTGGGAGGTGCAGTGCACGGTTACGTGTTGTATGAGGTCAGTTTTTTTTTTTTTTTTTTTTTTTTTTTTTTTAAAAAAAAAGCTCGCGCAGTCCCAGGTCCATTTGACGACCTCCAATTGTAATGTGACGCACGGGGTTGGCTGGTGACTGATGCGATGACGCTGCACGATGTTGTTGTTCAGTGGTGCGTCGAGAGACATCGGCGTCCCATTCCATGGGCCGCGTGCCCAAGACTTGCTGGAGGGATTAACTTCCAGGGCCAGCGCATCCTTCACGCAGTTACTGTTACCGGCAAGCTCAACAGGTGGAGACTGATCAGCGTTTTCCGCTAGCCAGAGCTATGTCTCGATTTCGCAAGCACGCCGTGCCCGACGGGGTTGACGCATCGTACCATGAACGTATCGGCACTCATCCTCTCTGACACATGCGGGCGAGCGATGAGTTGCAGTGGGTGGACGCGACATCATATCCGAATCATCAGCGGAAGAGGAATCAACCGACCGAGGCGTTCGCGAAAATGCTGCTCGAAGACCCTGAATTGAACGCCAGAGGCCTTACAAAGTGCACCATTATCAGCATCGAATGTCTTCACAAAGCTCGCTTGCCCACCTGATACACTGGTCGTGATGGTTTTCTGGTGCATGTTCGATAACCTCGCGGGTCCCACGCTGTACGTGTTGACATACTCTGCACCGCAATGGAAGGGGCTTGAGATATGTGCGTCAAGTTTAGAATTCGACTGTGGGCCTGGCAATCAATTGGCCAGGCGTTTGACGCCGTGCGTTTCGCACACCCGTGGCAACATATTCTCTTCTTCTTGCTTTTTACAGTGCGAAGCGCCATTCGGGGCGTCGGTGGGCAAGGCTCGGAGTTTCATTCGGCGCGATTCGGGGCCCCAATCGGTGCGTCGACGAGCAAAATTCGGAGCAGGTGCGCGGCCGCCGCAGGCAGGACTCGGAGGTGGAATTCGGCTACATGCGGCGTGCCCGCGGCCGTCTTTAACAGCATTTTCAGAAGAATCTTAGGAGTCTTTTGGGAGCTTCTCAGGAGCCTCACAAGATCATCTCAGAAACTTTCCGAGCTCCTTCTCAGGAAGTGAGTCTCATGCAGACCAAACCCCGGGACCTCTCTGCGAGCTTCCTAGGGACTTTTCATGAGCCTCTGGGGAGCCCATGAGGTGGCATCGGCTTTCTCAGTAGGAGCTCATGCAGGGTTCAGGACTTCCGAGGTGCTTCTGGAGAGCTTCCTCCATGCGCCAAAAGTCCGAGTGCGAAAACAAGCCGGCGCCTTCGGTAGGGGGGCCGCGGTTGCGCGGCTCCGAACGCGGGCGCCGACGCGGGCCTCGCGACTCCCCAGCCTCCATCATTTCACGTCTGGTTCGCCCCTCCTTTCACCCTTAGCTTATGGCCTTGAGTTGGGTTTTCAGTCTTGCTCCTCCGCCTGTTCCTCGCCCGCGTCGTCGCCCTCCTCTTCCTCCACCTCCTCCTGTTCTTTTTCTTCTTCTTCTTCTTCTTCTTTTTCTTCTTCTTCTCATTTATTATTCTCATTTTTCTTCTTCTTCATCCTCCTCCTCCTCCACATCCCCATCGTCGCTGTTTTTTAGTTATTTCGCGTTGTCCTAGTCGCGCTCCGCCTCCGCGTCTTTGTCGTCACCCTTCCCCTTGCCCCCCTCGTCCGCCCGGCCCCAGCCCCCCTCTTTCGTCTCCCCCTCCTCGCGGACCTTCTCTCCCTATTCCCCCGCCCCGTCGCCGCCGGCCCCCATCCGAGCCTCGCGCGCTTCGTTCGCGTGTCTCGTAGCGCTCCCTCATCAGATTTGCCCTTCGCTCGCATGGTTGCTTCGCGCCCATCAGTGCCATTCTCCGTCGTGGCCTCTCTGGCGCCTTCCCCCCGCAGATGTTCCTCTACTTCGTGCCGTTTCCTTTCCCTGTTCTCCGTTGCGCTGTCGCACTTTTCTTCGTATCCGTCTCTTACCAATCCCCCCCTTCTGGCGCCCGTCGCTCTTCCGTCCACGACCTCGCCCCCCTCGAACGTGCTTAGCTCCAGGGCGGCGCGGGTTGAAATCGGGGTGGTCGCGTCTGCGTCTGCGCGCGCGGGCAGCTTTCGGTCGTCGACGTCCTCCTTCTCCTTCATTTCGTGCCCGCGCAGGCGGGGATGGGGCGCCCGTGCCGCGCGCAGGGGCGCGCTGTTCCGCGCCGCCACGCGCGCTGGTGCCCGCGCGGCTGCGGCGCGCGTCGGCGAGGTGCTTCGAAATCGTCGTCGTCACAGCCCTTCTCCTGCATAGGGGGGGGGGCGTCGCGCAACCTCGGCGCGCTGGTGGCGCGTTGCGCGGTGCTCCCGCGAGCTGCGGCGCCCATGCGGTTGCGGTGCGCGCAGGCAGGCTGTCTCGAACTGGTCGTTGACGTTGTCGTGGTCGTTGTTGTTGTCGTCGTATTCGTCGTCGTCGTCGCCGTCGTTTGCGTATTCGCGTTCGTGCCAAATCGTGTGGAGTGCCCCCCCCCAGCGCTTAGTCGTGCAATGGCGCGTTCGGTTCACGCCCTTCAGAGTTTAAGGGAAAGGCGCATTCACGCGCAGGTTTGTGGGGGGCCGTTCATCCCGACCACTCATTCTCAAAGTCGAGATTGCGAATTCCGCCCTTTGGGGTTCGATTGGACGCTTTCCGGGTTCGATTTCGAACTGGGGGCGTTTTGCTGCTCGCAGGCTCTGGCGCTCGATGGCGCGTTGGTCCCTGCCCATCGTCGGAGCCTTTGGTTCGGCATCGTCCTGTTAGGTCCACGAAGTGGGTCAACATTTCGCAGCGTCGCTGGTGCATGCCGCCACCGCGTGTTCTTGCCCACGATCGTGAAGAAAACCGCGACCGCGCCATGAATTTGGATTGTGGGGCCCAACTTGAGGACGCTTGCGTAGGAACAGTTGCTGATAGGATCTAGCCTGTGAGCCACTTTTTCCTCTCGGTCCCGCTTTAGCATATTGAGGTATATCATAACCCGGGCTGATGTTCCATAGCTTAGGCGCTGTCCCCCCAGAGCGACAGCAAACATAAATTCGGTGAAACAACATATTCGGACAGTTTCCATCAGTTATTGCAAGGTCGGACTGGAATCCAGCACGAGAAGCAGCCTGTTCGTGTGCCGTGGGAGCGCCTGTGCACGTGTGCCACAGCTCAAGCGGAAGAGGCCAATTTGGAATTCCCTGACGCTTCGGTGCATGAGTAAAGCGCTGTTGAATAAATTCTAGATCCAACATGGCTCTGGCGCGCGCAGCATGAACCCTGTCTCCGTCAACGCGAAGCCCATTCGAGAACGCCTCCTGGTGTTCACGAATCTCCAGCCTCTCCCTTCTCGTAGCTTGCATCCCTTCTCGTAGCTTGCATCCTTCTTTTTGCACTGCTGCTGCATAGGTTTCGCACCATTAAGTTCACGATCTTCTCGCCTAGCACGGCCACCCCCCACAGCACTGCGAAGATTGAGAGAAACAGAAAGAGAGAGAGACAGAGAGAGAGAGAGAGAAAGAGAGAGAGAGAGAGAGAAAGAGGAACAGAGAAACCACACAAGACATCTGAACATATGTATATATTTATATATATATAGAGAGAGAGAGAGAGAGAGAGAGAGAGAGAGATAGAGAGAAAAAGAGAGAGAAATACCCTATTGGTTCAAGACACATCACGAGCTCGGCAGGCGTCCATACTTCCAGGGCCGGTGGTTCGTCACGCGCTGTTCATCGTCGTAGGTTAATCTCCGTACAGTGCTTAGTAAGCTCCATTCGCCTATTACAGCGAACTTGAACATCCGCCGACGTCGTCGGTGCAAAGTTCACTCGCGTGTCTCGACTTTTGCCAGCAGCTTGGTACGTGCGCGACAGAGGTCATCGCGCGCCTGAGGCCCAAGACGGTGGTGCTGAAAGTGTTGAGCTCCGACTCGACACATGACCTCGTCAATATGTTCTCTGAGTTGGTGTGTCTTGGGGCACACGTATTTTGCACATGATCCCAGGGATGAACTGGTTAATTGTCGACCTCGTTTACGACATTCTCCCTCGTTTTTTTCACCTGGTATGCCCGTCATCATATGGTCCCTGTTCCGTTTCACCTCCCCCCTATCTTTGCCGTCAGAGTTCGGGGTGGGTCTATTTTGTTTGTTCCTCCCAATTTTTGGTATGTTTACCTTGGTCAATAGGGGTAATTCGGTGATCACGAGGTTCACGGCTAGGTATTACTTGTAATATACGGCCAATTCGATGAATATGATTCGCACGCGACTCAGCATCACACCACTGTAGTGGGATCGCTGCATGGTCATCATGGAGCCTGCGCCATTGCTGTCGTACAAGGTGGGGAGTGAATTCTTGGAAAGTCGTGGGTGGGAACAGACCAGCCGATTCGAACAGCTCGCGAAATTTGCCCTCCTCCTACATGCTTCTCTTTCGT